GGTTGTCCTGAAATTTATAGCAGGTTTGGCAGTCTTAGAAGCATTGGATCGGAGCCTGGACATGCCTCCTCTTAGTGTGCTCGAGCTTTCACTCCTCAACCTTTTATGCTATATGGACATGGGTAGATTTCGAAAATCTCGAGATCGAGATCATATACAGAGGTGTCGATTATATCACTCGACTTGGCCGCATCGAGAGCACTCACTCGTTCTGAGCCCTGAGAGGATTGATATCAATTTGCTACTCTAGCTGCGTACTATTGTAGCCGCTCTTGCTACATTGACATATGTCGGTTTAGAACATCTCGAGATTTAGAAGAGCTGCTGAGCTTTGTTCCATTCCAATCGATTCGGCAGCCTCGAACGCATTGGGTCGGCGTCAAGAAGCCTGAGTTCAGTCTTTGCTTTTCATTGGAGGGTAGGCGGTCCGTGTTACGCTGCCTTGAAAGCGCGTAGTCCTGGCCCGCATATGCCCGACGACGGCGGTGGACGCGGCGATGACGATGACGATACGACCATGGCGACGAGGAGCTTGAAACGCGAGGGTGACGGTGGCCACGGCAATGAGGGCAGCGCCGACGAGGCTGGCGATGACGAGTGACGAGGTAGCTGGCGGTGACATCTAGTTCTGACAGCGAAGGATGGCGGCAACCGGTGGCCGGACGCTCGCGAGCCGCCCCTTTAACATATCGGGAAACCCAGCGGGCCTGGCGGGCGAAATCGCAGGGTCAAGGGTAGAGAGGGGCAGGGATGCCCCACATTTCATGGAGTGATATTTGTTGCTCCAAGCGTATGGCGAACTATGCATTCTGTATATTGGTAACGCCTTGCGGCCGGCGCCGCCGACCCTGAAGGGGAACGATGAAGGCCGCGGCGGCGACGACGACGACGCTGACGCTCTGAGCCTTTCTCGGGGCTCTCTTGGAAGCCTCTTGGACTGTTGGGGGTGTTTTCTGGGGAAGTTCTTGGAAAGGTCTGTGGTCACTTGGGGCCACCTTGGAGCGGATCTGAAGCCGCCTGCGAGGCATGTGGGAAAATACGCAGCACCCCGCAACAACAGGGAAAAGTGAGAAAGGTGCATCCTGGGAGGGGGGTCCTGAAAGGGAGGGCAGTGGTGGTCCCTTTGTCCTCATGGGGGGACCCCCCGGGAGGAAGGTCACGAGTCCTTGGGCCCTTCCTCGGATCTCCATCCAAGGTCCCCCTCTCCCCCAGAAATCCCTCCCGAGTCCCATGCCGGAGCCCCTCCGTGGTCCTGAGGCTTGCTGGCCACGTTAAGACCACCCCCTTGCCCCCCTTCTCCACAGGGGCTCCACCCCGTGGGGTGGGGGTCGCTCACGGCCTCCAGGCCCCTCCGGGATCTTCCTGGGACCCTTTCCCTGGGTTTCCCTCCGGGACCCTTTCCTGGCCCCCCCCGTGGGACCTTTTCCCAGGCCCTCCCTTGGGCCCTTCCTCCTCGCGGCTGGGAAGGGATCACATGGATAGGCTACCTTTTGAATCAAGTAAGAAACTGTTCGATTTCCGTTTGGCTGGATCGCTCGAGGAGGAGGAAGAGGGCCCGGGGAAAAGGGGGGAGCGGCGACGGCGACGATGACGACCCCAACGGAAAATCTTCTCTCTCTCTCTCACACACGCCGACACGGTCGGCAGGTTTCAGATATGATAAGTTTCCGCAGCGGTTTTCTGGCTTCTTTGAAGTTTCTTCTGTGGTGTATGCTGCTTTTCTGTTGCGTTCCCGTCCAAACTGACATCTTGATGGTAGAACTGGGATTTTGGCTCGAAGTTCCCCGACGCACCGACAGGTACCTGCTGGAGCTCCCCTGGATTCCCTGCGTTTTTTTCGAGTCCACTCTTGTTCCCCGCTGAACAACGATATTTCTGCGCGCTGAATGCTGGGTAGTCGAAGGCCAGACTGTCAGATTGGATTGGGCCCCAAGGGCCAATCTGGCCTGGCCAAACTGGATGATTTGGGTTATTCGCCAGACTTGATTCGCGTTGGCTCCCTCGCCAGATTGCCCCCGTTTGCCAGATTGGGCCTGCCAGATTGGCGCCAGATTGGCTTCGACTACCCAGGAATGATTCCCCAGCGGCATGTGCGCTGCTGCCATCCCCGCCGTCATGCCCATCATCTTCAATCTGTCCTTGCTGCCGCCATGCTCCCCACCACTGCGATCGCTACGCTAGCTCTTGCCGACAAGCAGACGCAACGGAACATCGAAAACACAACTTCCCTGTCTGAGGGGGGGGCCGCAGACAGCCCCCCGCGACCATTTCGGCGCATCCCTGAAACGTTTCGTGTGCGCAGATAGAACTCCGCCGAAGTCCACTGGGAGTGGTGTTGTATGCGGTCCCCCAGCCATGTCGGCACACCCCGCACTCGTTTCGTGGCGCCACAGGTGGCTCCACCGGAGCCCTCAGGAGGTGTGGCCGCATAGGTTCCCCCCCACTTCTATCGGCACTCCGCTCGCACGTTTCGTGGCCCCACTGGGAACTCCACCGATGC